CCCTCCCTCCCCCCCCCCCTTTGACGTCTGTTCCTGCAACCACTGGGCTAGTCTTCCCCAGCTTCAAGCTGTACATAGGCCCCCAGTGCAGATGCCCCACCCACACCTGCCTCCTTAGGAGCCCACGTGTGCACAGAGCGTCCCCCCAACTTAACTCCAATTCCTCTCCTGAGCTTGGGCTCATATTTATCGTGTGCGACTCTTGACTCCCAGGGGGCAAGGCAAGCAGCCCCGGGCCTGCTGGCTTCCTGTCCCCGAACTTCTTTCCTCTGAAGTAAATATACATATATAAATAAATGTATAAAGACTGCTTTGTAGCTGAGCCTGTCTCCCGACTCCTTGGGGTTGGGCTGGTGGGAGAGAGCGTCTCCCATGGGTCTAGGACCAACTGGAGCCCCAAGTTCTACCTGCAAAGCCTGGACACTTGGGGACCTAAAGCCAGATGGCTGTTCCACACCCCTTATCCTTCCCAGCTTCCTACAGGGGCTGGGCATGGACTCAGCTGCGCCCCCGCTCCTGACCCAGCCACTGCCCTGAGTTAAGTGGCCCTCTAGGGAAAAACCCCACATCAAGACAAGCTGAGCCTGTGAGGGGCCCCACCCACAGAAGGGTGGCTATGTTCACAGGTAGGGATTGGCCCAGGAGAGGAGAGACTGGATTGTTGAGGGTTCCCAGAGAAGTTTGTTCTAGAAACAATAGAAGAGGGTAGGCCAGGGCCCTTCCTACCCACAGGTGAGCCTTAAATCCCAATGACAAGATACCCCTGCCATACAACCCGCACCCCCAAAGGTGGAAAACAGGGCTCCCGGCAGCCAGACCCATGTGGAAGGTGGTGAGAAATGGGGAAGGGTGGGACTGGGGGAGTCATGTAGGTCCCAGTGCCCCCACCCCCGCAGGAAGGGCACCAGGTAGGACAGTCACACATCTGCCTTTATTGTAAAGTAGCAAGTAGGATGCTTCCAGCACAGTAAAAAAAATTAATTTACAAAAGCAGGGATTCAGTGAAGCCGCCTGGCTGGTACCTGAAAGAGAGGGGTGTCAAGTGAGATGGATGACCCTTCTTTTCGCCTTCTCTCCCTGCACCCCACACTACTCAGGCAAGGGCCGACAGGCACACACCATTGAGGATGAGCCACCTGAGCCAACTGTCAGTGTCTTGGTGGATTATCTGCAGCAAGTTTTAAGTCCCCAATTTTTTTTTTTTTTGAGTTGGAGGCTCACTCTGTCACCCAGGCTGGAGTGCAGTGGCATGCTCACAGCCACTCCAGTGTCAACTTGCTGGACTCCGGTGATCCTTGCGCCTCAGCCTTCCAAATAGCTGGAACTACAGGCGCATGCTACCACACCTGGCTAATTTTTGATTTACTGTAGAGAAGAGGTCTCGCCAAGTTGTCCGGGTTGGTCTCAAACCCGTGGGCTCAGGCAATCCATTCACCTCGACTGGGATTACAGACTGAGCCACTGAGCCCTGCCAAGTCCCAGATTTTGACCCTCTGCCAGCCTGCCCACCTTTCAGCAGCCTCTCCACATCACTGGTGCATGACTTGTAAGAACACAAATGTGGCTGAACGCGGTGGCTCATGACTGCAATCTCAGCACTTTGGGAGGCCGAGGTGGGAGGACCGCTTGAGCCCAGGAGTTCAAGACCAGCCTAGGCAACATAGCCAGACCTCATCTTCACAAAATTAAAAAAAAAAAAATTGGTCGGGCCTCATGGTGTGCGCCTGTAGTACCAGCTACTTGGGAGGCTGAGGAGGAAGGATTGCTAGAGCCCAGGAAATTGAGGCTGTGGTCAGCCTGCATGATTCAAAGACACCCTGATTCAAAAAAATACAAAGAATGCAAATGTATGTCTGGTGCTCATTCCTACAAACAGCCCAAAGGCACATGGAGGGCTTAGGCAGTATGAACGCAGAGCTCACAAAGCAGGTGACTCATGAGGCAAAGGGAAATGGGCTAGTGTCTAGTGTTCCTACCAGTTCCACGGGCTGGCCTCCCTTAACCCAGGGGTCATGCCAGTAGGAGCCTGAGGGCCTGCTGACGTGGCTACAGGGAGACCTCTCAGGCTCAAGCTCCCTCCCTGTCCCAGCTCTTACCCTTGGGCGCTCACACGTAGATGCCGACCCAGAGCAGCAGGAAGAGGACTCCAAAGCCCATGAAGAGCGAGGCCACCAGGGAGATGAGGAGTTCTTTGTAGATATCACGAGTGTACTTGGTGGAGGTGACCTCATAGCTGGGCAGGGATGTTAAGGCAGCGCGGCGAGATGGGCTGTGGAGTGTAGGGGCTGGCCAGTGGCTCTCTGGGAGAAAGGCATGGGCTAACCGCTGCCTGGGAGGCCATCTGGCTGAGGCAGGAAGGCGGCGGGGCCCAAGAGGTGACTTGGACTCTGGTGTTCCAACACCCATGAAGAAAATGAGACCCAGAGGAGTGAGGTCACTTGCCCCAGGTCATGCAGCTCCTGAGTGGTGGGGCTGGGGCTACCCTCACGCTTCCAGCTAGGCCCTCTGCTTACTGTCCTGGAACTCTGAAGAGCAGACCACGCTGAACTGAACTTGGGAAATAAGGCCACGACCTGGACTTGGGCATCACCAGCCTTCCTCTCCTTACCTGTCATCCCCAACCCGCTGGACAGAGCCGGCAGGTGCACATGCCTGGTGTGGTCTCTCCTTCAGCCCCCACACCACTCACCCCGACCCCCGGCTGCTTGGTGAAAGGATACACGAAGAACCAGGCAGTGAAGAACATGCCAATGGCCAAGAGCACCACAGTCAGATGTGGAAAGACCGCTGGGTTCACAGGGCTGGTGTATCTGCTCATAGCCTCGAGCTCCTAGGGGAGGGCATGGGATCAGAGCCACTGAGGAACCCCACGGCTTCAGCCTCAAGAGACTGTGGGGTTCTCAAAGAACCTTGTGCTGCTGTGACTGCTACAGGCCTACTTCAGCCTGGAAACGTGGCAAGCTTTCAGAACCAACAGCAACTGATTCAGTGCTGGAGTGACAATTAGCTACATACTTTTTACATTTTAAAATTATACACACACACACACACACACACACACACACACATTTTTTAGTTGGAGTCTCACTCTGTCACCCAGGCTGGAATGCAGTGGCATGCTCATGGCTACCCCAGCCTCAACCTGCTGGGCTTAGGAGATCCTTCCGCCCCAGCCTTCCAAGTAGCTGGAACCAGAGGCACCCGCCTCCGCACCCGCCTCCACACCCGACTAATTTTTTTATTTTTTTGAATTGGAGTCTCACTTTTGTCACCCAGGCTAGAGTGCAGTGGCACGCTCACAGCCACTGCAGCCTCGACCTGCTGGGTTCAGGCGATCCTTCCGCCTCAGCCTTCCAAGTAGCTGGAACTACAGGCATGTGCCACCACGCCCGGCTTATTTTTGATTTATTGCAGAGATGAGGTCACGCCAAGTTGCCCAGGTTGCTCTCAAATCCGTGGGCTCAAGCAATCCTCTCACCTCAGCCTTCCATAGTGCTGGGATTATAAGCACGAGCCATCATGCCTGGCCTTAATTTTATATTTTTGAGTTGGGGCCCCACCCTGTTACCCAGGCTAGAGTGCAGTGGCACCATCACTGAGGCTCACCGCAGCCTCAACCTCCTAGGCTCAGGCAATTCTTCTGCCTCAGCCTCCTGAGTAGCTGGGACTACAGGAGCTCACAACCACATCTGGCTTTTTAAAATTTTTTTTGGTAGAGATGAGGTGTCACCATGTTGCCCAGGCTGGTCTCGAACTCCTGGGCTCAAGCCATCCTCCTGCCTTGGCCTCCCAAAGTTCTGGGATTCCAGGTGTGAGCCACCACACCTGGTCAATAATTACAAATGAAGGTGGTACTTCATCTTTTCAATATGAGACAAGAAAGGCTACTGAGTGTCAGAAGCTAAGACACAGAAGGTGATTAGCTGCAGATCAATGGACCTTAGCATTTTGAAGACTTTGACCACTAGGAAAATGTGATAAAAGTATGCACTTCCTGGGAAAGTGGCATACTCAGGACCACTGCAGCCTCGACGTGCTGGGCTCAGGTGATCCTTCCTCCTCAGCCTTCCAAGTAGCTAGAACTACGAGGCGTGAGCCACCACGCCCAGCTAATTTTTTGATTTATTGTAGAGATGAGATCTCACCAAGTTGCTCAGGCTGGTCACAAACCCCTGAGGTCGGGCAATCCTGAGGTGCCTGGCCTGTTTTGCTTTTCCAGTCGAGGTCTCACTCTGTCGCAAAACCACAGCCTCAAACTCTTGGCTCAAGTGATCCCCCCTCTTCAGCTCCCGGACTAGCTGGGACTACAGGGGCACTGCACTCCACCACGCCTGGCTACATTTTTTCAAATTTTCAAACCACTTTTCTACCTATATTCTTATGCCATCCATACAGGATTGATGTATAATATAAGAATGATGAACGCTGGAGCATCTAGTGTTGTGCCCGATGTAGTCACGGCTCCACCCCTGTTTGTTTCCTTCCTAAGGCTGGAGGGAAGATTATGAGATAATGCCCGTCATCGCTGAAGTTCTGTACAAATGCTAACTTCACAGTCACCCATCAGCCGAGGCTGCTGAAATCCAGAACACAACAACTCTAGAGACCTAAACGGAACCCATTGTTCTAAGGGACACTGGACTCCAATTCAGTAGACAACGATGTCCCCTCCCCCCGAAGCGACACAGACAATCGCGGCCATTTACCGAGCCCCAAGGACAGGCCCAGCGTCTCACACTGGCACACAAAGATGAACAGGCCTCATCCCAGAGCGAGATGCGCGTCAGACGGCGGTCCCTGGGAGGCGTGGCACCACACAAAGAGGCCCACGGAACGTGGCCGGAGGTCCGCGCGGCGGCCGTGGCCCAGCGCCCGACGGCGGAAGCGCCTCGCCGGGAACTGACACTTGCCCGGGGCCTGGACGGACGGCCAGGGGTCCGGCGCGGGAGGGAGAAGGTTCCCAAGACGGCGCAGGTAACAGAGACACGCGCTCGAAGGCTTTCAAGACACCCCACACTCCTCATCCTCACGGCCCGCGAGCTCGGAAGCCCAGCGCGATCAGCATCTCGTTTAACGAGTTCAGGAGTCTAAGGAGGTCCTGGCAAGGGAGCACCCTAGCCCCGCACCCCTTGGCCCTCTGGATCCCCGGCGTCTGAGGCCTCCGCGAGAGCGTCGCGGTGTGGGTCCGAACCCGAGAGGTCCTCACAGCTCTGCCGGGGACTCCCCTTAGGCCAGCTCACCATTTTGCCGGGCTCTGGGCGAGCCACCGATCCGCCACCGGAAAAACACGTCGGCAGAAGCAGGCGCCTCGTTCGGCCGGAAGAGGAAGTGCCCCGAGGCAAGTGGCATTGTGGGACTGGTAGTCCTGCGGTTTCGGGGGGTGGCGGCAGCTGGCGCCCGTGGACGCCTGATGCGGGTGCAGTGGGGGCAAGCCGTGGGGAAAGGAAGGGCAGCGTCGGTGAGAGCGTCCTTTCTTCCTGGAGGTACCGTATCGCGAGAGCAGCCATCTGAGGGGTCGGGGCCTGCACTACACTTCCCAGGAGGCCGCGCGCGGCGGGCAGGTCACGTGACGGGAGCGCGGGCTTTGGAAGGCGGCGGAGCGAGAGGCGACCCGCGGCCAAAGTGAGAGGGAGACGGACTTAGGACGGCCCGCCCTGGGCAACACCGGACCGAGCGCTAGCTGCCGAGGCCTCGTGCCCCAAGGGCCAGGTGAGACCCCGCCAGGGGCGCCTGCGAGGGCGACGGGGTCTGTTATGCGCTGGGAGCCGTGGGCGGCCGCGGCCTGGGGTGCGCGGGATGCTCAGTCAGGAGGCCCCGCCACTTTCCCGCGGCGAGTCTCGGGCCGGCCGCGCAGCCTTCGAGCCGCTCTCTCTCTCTCCGGTTGTAGAAAGACGGGAATCACTTCCACCTTCTGGGCCGCGGTGTAATTTTACTAAGATCCCGGACGGGAATCCTTTTGGAAACTTCACGCGTTTAGCTCCCTTTGCTGCTCGCTTCTGCTGGATGCCGCGCGTGCACCTTGAGATTTGAGGCACAGACCGAAGTAAATGGGTCTTGGATGGGGGACATTTACAGAGAGCCTGGTGTCATGTCGTGACGATAGAGATTTACATCTATTGCCTCGGCTAATCCTGGCAGTAATCCTGCAAGACAGGCATGGTGATCACTCTTATTTTATAGATGAGAAAACCAAACGTAAGTGACTTAGTGATGTCACACAGATGGTTCCATGCTGGCGCCTAGAGTCAAGTCAGGGCTTTTGCTGCGGCCATTCACAGGGGAACTAAAATGCGATGAGCCTTGAAGGTGGGGTGAGAGGATGGCGGGAGGAGGGCACGCTCAGCAAAAGCGAGAAAAGGCGGGCCTTTTCTGTTGGGTTCCCAGATCTTGATGCCATGCAGAAGTGCTTGGACTGAATTAGAAAGGGATTTTTTGTGTGTTTTGAGTCGGGGTCTCATTCTGTCACCTAGACTGGCGTGCAGTGGCACAGTCACAGCTCACTGCAGCCTCAAACTCTTGGGCTGAAGAGATTCTCCCTCCTCAGCCTCCCAACTAGGTGGGATCATCATGCCCAGCTAATTTTTTTAAACTTTTTTTCCGTAAAGACAAGGTCTCACTATGTTGTCCAGGCTGGTTTCAAACTCCTGGGCTCAAGCAGTCCTCCTGCCTCAGCCTCCCAAAGTACTGGGATTACAGACATGTAACCACCAGACCTGGCCTCGAAGGAGGAATTTTTTTTTTTTTTTTAGTTGGAGTCTTACTCAGTCGCCCAGACTGGAGTGCGGTGGC